AAGCAAATTTATTAAAATCGTTCGGGATTACATCACTTTCAACCATAGAAATAGAAAAATTTGTATCACTATTAGACGTGGCATACATATTACTTCCTACTAATTCACTCGTTCCGACCTCCTCACAACCATCTTCACTCAGATTAAGGCGATACATACCCAACTGGTAGTATCCCTTTCCAATAAAGGTCTTCCTCTTGTAGATCACGACCTTCCTAGCCTCTATATTTATTCCAAACCCGTTTTCATTGAGTTTGCTTGCAGAGACGAGGTTCTTGTTAATGAAAGGTATGTGAAGAACATTTCGGAGAGTGACGGTCTTGCCGGAAGTGAACTTCAGTAGCACCGTACCCATTCCAACGACATCCACACGGCCGTTGTTTGCAACTATCACTTGTTTCCCATCTCTAACTGGTCCATATTCAACAAACTTGGACCTGGAGTCACAAACATGAAAAGTGGCTCCATAGTCCAAGTACCAGCCACCTCTCGCAGCCACAATTTTCTTGGAGGCCTTCTGAAATCATGTCAATATTTTCCATGTAGAGATTCGCCACAAGGTGTTGAATCCCCTCAACATAATTAGCAGCAAGGGGTCTGGACTTTTTGTCCTTGCACTCACGAGCATAATGTCCCGTCTTTCCGCGGACGTGACATCTTCCGGCCCTTTTAAACTTCTGTCCCGGGTTCGATTGACTGTCTGATCTCTTAAAACTCTTCTTTTGTGGACCCAAGTTCCACTTCTTGTTTGGCCCTCCGACCCTTCCCTAACCCTTGCCTCCAACCTACACGTTGTTGGCATTCATCACAGACTTGCCTCTCCTTTTCCGATTACGTGCCTTTTCCTCAATACGAAGGTGTTTTAGTAAATCATCCAAAGAATAATCTTCGGTTTTATGGATCATTCTTTTTGAAAAATCTTTCCAAGATAGAGGCAATTTGTCAATTACTGCCCCTACTTAGAAAATTTCAGGGATAGCAATAAAAAACATTTTTAATTTGTTTACTAAAACTTGGAGCTCATGCACTTGCTTCAGAATTGGTTTTTCATCAACCATTTGGAATCTCAAATACTGTGACACAAGATATTTATTGGTGCCATCTTCTTGTGACTTGTATTTGAATTCCAAGGCTTTCCACAACTCTCGAGGACATGTAAACGGGGAATACAGATCATATAAACGATCTGACAAAGCATTCTTAATGTGTCCACAAACAAGAGTTTCTTCTTCTTTGCGGATCATTCTAAGTTTTTCAAGGTCGGCAATTCTTTGAAGATCCGGTTGTTTCCTTGGTTCAGGGACCAAATCTTCGGGAATGGGAGGGAGGCTTGGGTCCAAGACATAGTAGAGTTTTAACACCATGAGCATAAATTTCACTTTGTCCGCCCAACGAGTGTAACTCGACCCATCAAACTTTCAAATTTCATCATGTCTTGATTAAGAATACGATAGTTTCCGGTGTCCATTTGTTATAAAACCTTAAAGATTGTAGAAAAATAATTCCAATAAGAAAAATGAACACCAAATAAAGATTTAATCTTTATAAAATTTAATTACATTATAGCCAAAAAAAGGATAAGAAAAATGAACACCAAATAAAGATTTAATCTTTATAAAATTTAATTACATTATAGCCAAAAAAAGGTTAAACCTTTTCGAATTCAGACCCACCAAAACCTCAATACATGCCAATTCACACAGATTGAATCTATCCTTCTCGATAGATTCAATGAAAGAAAGGGGTAGAAGCAGAGTGTTCACTTAGTGAATAGGAAATTAAATACCATGCAAAAGTTATAAAACGAACTTGTTTTATATACTGTGGATTCAGATGATAAACTGCACGGTAAAACCTGTCTTTTAAGGTTTTAAACGACCACTCTTAATCCGCTGTGAGTCTGCTAGTGATGTAGTACACATTTCGTTTATGAACATCGATCAAAACGAAACAGCAGGATCGATTCAGAAAACGGTAGAGAGAAACAGAACTCGGGAGCAGTATTCTTCGGAGAGGAAACAATATTCGTATATGTGTAAATACTGTGTGAAACCCTACAACCTCCCACGATTTTCTCCAAAAAAATCGGAGATAGTGGTGAGAGAAATTCTCAACCGAATATTATCTCTAAAGCCAAGTCAATACCGGATTATTTTCAAATTAAAAGTAATAATTATCCAAATTAAACTGATAATTCTCCTCACGAATTTCTATCAAAAATATACTCGGAGCTCGGGCGAGGCTCCTTCTACTCCGATGCACAGTGCAAAGTGCGCCTCCTCGCGCCACCTTCGTGAATTCGCACCCGCGTCCTCGGCCTCGGCCTCGGCCACGCACACGTGTGTGTTTTGGGCCTTCCACTCAAGACTCCCAACATGAGTACACCAACATGTTCAAAGCCCATTTCTAAAGAAAGCCTTATAAGCTTCTCTAGAAAACAAGTTTCTACAAATATGGGATGGAAGGTTAACTTCCAACCTATAAATTTCCAACACAGAGGGTCTTTTACAATTATGTGGTATGTTGGAAACATTAGGAGGATTACGAGCAAGTAGGCATATGGGTATTGATGAACAAGTTGTCATTTTCCTTCATATTATGTCTCATAATGTTAAAATTCGAGTTATCACATGTTGTTTTCATCGTTCGGGAGAAACAATCAGTAGACTATTTACTCGAGTTTGTAATGCAGTGATAAGATTGCATTTTCATATTTGCTTAAAAAAACCCAAACCGATTCAAGAGGGTTCTACCGATGGAAGATGGAAGTGGTTCAAGGTATATAGAATATCTACCTTTTTTGGTATTCACATGTAAGTAACTAAAAGTGTGTAATGACCATTTTTATTTTCTTGGTTTATAATTGTCTAGGAGCTTTAGATGGAACATACATAAGGTGCTTAGTGGCACTCGAAGACAAGACTCAATACAGAACGAGAAAGAATGAAATTGCCACAAATGTGTTAGGGGTCTGTTCACAAGATATGAAATTTATTTATGTGTTACCCGGATGGGAGGAGTCAGCGGCTGATGGTAGAGTGCTTCGGAACGCTCTTCTTAGGCCACATGGGTTAAAGGTACCGAGGCCATATTATTACCTGGTGGTAGATGCTGGATACACAAATGGTGAGGGTTTCCTCGCCCCATATAGAGGTCAAAAATATCACTTAAATGATTGGCGGGATGGATACCAACCAACCATGCCAAAAGAACTTTTTAACATGAGACATTCCTCTACAAGAAATGTCATAGAAAGATGTTTTGGCATTTAAAGGTAAGGTGGAGAATTTTAAAAGATAAGTCATATTATCACGCTGAACTGAAAAACAAGATCATAATGGCATGTTGTCTACTTCATATCGTATCAGGCGAGAAATGCCAAATGATCCGTTTAAGAATGATGGGTCAGACGAAACAATCGAAGATGATGGAGACTAAGACGTGGATAATGTTAGTTCTGTTGGGACATCAACTGAGTGGACTGCATTTAAAAATAATTTGGCACAACATATGTTTGAGGCTTGGAATGCTATGCACTGACCTTTTATGATTTGTAATGCTAGAAGTTTATCTTTATGGTTTGTAATGAATTTGATACCTATGTTGCATAATATTATGATTAATAATGCTACAACTTGATTTTATGATTTGCATGTTTATTTTACATGTTATTTGTTTATTATTTAATTTCGTTAACAATAGGTATGGCGGATCGAAATCATAATAGAAACTATTGAAATTGGACAACTATTGAAGATGTCAAGCTGGTGGAGGCTTTGGTTAACATGGTTAATACCAGAGGATTTAAAACCGATAACGGCTTTAAATGTGGATAGTTACAGTATCTCGAAAAGGTGTTAAAAGAATCAATTCCTGATTCTGATATATTGGGTAAACCGCACATTGAGTCAAGAATTAAAACAATGAAAAAGGATTGGCAAGTGGTCCATGACATGGTGAATGGGACAAATATGAGTGGGTTTGGCTATGATTGTTTGAAACAATGTGTAATTGCCGAAGCACCAGTTTGGGAGTCTTACCTAAAGATACCCATTATATATTTCATGCTATATTTGTAGCTATTATTTGATATATTTGCTAATTAACTTTTATGACATGAAATGGGTACATAACGAGGCGGCAAAATGGAAAGACCAGATATTTCCACATTTTGAAGACCTGTCTATTGTTTTTGTAAAATATAGAGCCCAAGGAAGTAGAGTTAGAGATGTTGTTGAGATGGAGAAGCAAGTGAATCTAGAAGAATAAGAACAACAATCAAAGGACACAGAAAGTAGCCATAATGTACGTAATGCTACAGATATGCGAAGTGAAGAAGGTTCAAGTCGAGGTAGTAAGAAGAGGAAAACCCGAGTTGAGACTCTTGTTGACGGAATGCATAGTGCAACTCTCTTACTTGGGGAGAAATTTAAAAATGTATCGAAAAATATGGTAGATATGGAAATGGATATATATATATATATATATATATATATATAACAAGACTTTCATGGTGAGTTTTGAACTTGCAAAAATGCAATCACTTTCTAGAGTGGAAAGATTCATAGCAGTCAAGAAAATAACAAGTGAGCCTGATAACGTCTTAATTTTTTGGAGTTTGGAAGATAGGGAGGGAGAGGAGTGGGTGAGGTTTCTGTTGGAAGGTTGATTTTGGTTATGATTTGAAAACTTGAATTTGGGTTTTGGAAGTAAGATATGTAGTTAACAAATTCAGATGTTATCGAATCTTAGTAATTTGTAGTGAACAATTTCAGATATTAGTAATATAAGTGAACAATTTCAAATTTTATCTGATGTTATTAATGTAATTTGGTTTAATGGTAATTTTAATTTTAAAGAAAAATGACAAAGAAAAATGATAAAAGGTCATTTGTTGGTATTTAATTCCGATTCCAAAGTTGAATTCTGTGAACCAAGCAAAAAAAATTCATTATAATTCTATCCAATCAAACGCAATCACAAGGCATGATCAAATTTCATTTCATTCCATGAAAGTCAAATTGATTTGATAAATTCCAATTCCATCAAATTAGATTCCACGAACCAAACACTCCCTTAACAGTTGGGGTTTAAGATTGTTTCATGAAATCGGACCACATACACACACCTATCACATACCACAACACCACAACGCCTTTGGTTGAATTCAATCGATTGCTAAATCGAAAGAAAGTGTTATTCTTTTATTTATTATTTGTAACTACTAAAACATAACTTTTTTTTCAAAAAATTTCTAAAATATGATAAGTAATTCAGATAAAGATAGTACTTGTTGAACTTTTATGTAAGGTTCATTTTGAAATCTTGAATGAGGCAGCCAATGGCAGCGTAGGATGAACCGCCCTCAGCCACCGCTGCCCTGCTCTTCTTGCTTATCTCTTTCACTTTTGTTCTCATCGTCTTATCCTCCATTAACCGTCGTATTCCGCCCTCTATCTCCTCCGCCGTCACAACCACCGTATTACTCTTTGTATTAAACATATCCTTCTTATAATCCAACTTAATCTCCACCGCTAATCCCATCTCCACCACCATTTCAAATGCATTCATCTGCTGCTCTGCGTACATTGGCCACGCCGCCGTCGGTACACCGAACCATAAACTCTCCAATATCGAGTTCCACCCGCAGTGAGAAACAAACCCTCCGACGGCACGGTGAGCCAGCAACGCCACCTGTGGAGCCCACCCGATCACCTTCCCTACTCCGGCAGTGCGCTCTAGGAATCCTTCCGGCAATACCACTCTTGGATCCTCATAATCTCCGACGACTTTCAGCGTTTGCTCCGGTGAAGGAGGTCGACGGAGGGACCACACGAAACGGTGGCCGCTTCGCTCTAAAGCATATGCGATCTCTTTCACTTGTACCTCTTCAAAACTTCCCATACTGCCAAAACACAACACAACCACCGAGGAAGGTGGTTGACCATCTAACCAACAGATAACGTCGGAATCTTGGACTTTTCCGGCGATATCGTCTAGATTAAGAACGGGTCCCACCGGATAAACTAGCGGGAAGCTCGTGTCGGAAGACAATGAGTCGATTGCATGGGTTTCCAATTCCAAGAATGTATTAACCATAATTGCTTTCACCTCTCGGAATTTGCGGACACAATACAGAAGAAATTCCAGCCCTTCTTGATTTTGGTACACCGCCGGAAAGACCTTCGCCGGCACCGGGTTAACGAAGCTCGGAATCGCTATCTCGACATCGGAGTTGCTTAACTCTAAGACATCTTGGTTCTGCGTATCATGAAGGGTCTGGATACACAGCTTGTAGCCAAGAAAAGCAGCATTCGAAGTGTAGAACACGTAGGTTGGAACATGAAACTCGTTGGCCACATCAACCATGCTGATGCAAAACATGTCGATGACGAACCCGACAAGCCGGCCGGAATTTGGTCGGCTCATGATTTCTGACACAGCATCTGTGACATTCTTGCAATGACTTTTAATGAATTCATTGATGAAAGTCATGGGAGCTTTGGGGTCGGGTTTTGGTATGGTTTCATCTTGAGGAAGTTCAACTAATCGTATACGTTCCATAGCCATTTTAGCCGACGATTTGGTCACATAGGTGGTGATGGCTGAGCCAGAATCGGAGCCAGGAGGGGTCTTAAAGATAAAGATGGTTACGGAAAGGTGTTGATCACGATTCACGAACAGTTTTGCGATCTCGATGGTGGAGATGATATGACCAACCCCAATTGAAGGGATGAATACGAGTTCTGCAATTGTATTCGCCATTTTTCTTTGGGTTCATGAATGGTCTAAATTGAGGTTTATATATCTTGTTTGTATATTCGAATCCTAGCAGATAATGTCAATTGAGGTGATGTCATTTGATTGGAAGATTGAGTCTTCCATGGACATATGAACAAGACTTGTGGATAGATTGAAACCTCACAAACGTCATCTATAATACAACTACAGGCCAAGTAGTAAGTGGGGAAAATATTTTAACAGCTTAACGAGCTTAATACTGAATAGGGATTATGGCTTATTCGGTCAGTCATGCATGATTGTTTGGTTCATAATGGTTTAATAACACAGAAAATTATTTATTCAGTAAGTTTCTAGGTAGTGTTTTATTTCCAAACTCATCCCTTTGAATTAAAAAATATGCTTCTTTCATCACGAAAAAACATTTTCAAATATTTAGGAATTAGGAGTTAGTAAAAAGAAAGAAATTAATCAAGTTATCGTTTAATTAGCTAAAAAAGTGTAATATTTATGTATATCTAAAACCATGTATCATTTCTGTTGTGGACACTTATTTTAAACGAAGAAAGTATATTACAGGATGTAGGCTTATTGCACACAGTCTTTTAGAGTACAATTTTTTCTGTTCTATTATTTTGTGATTTTCAATTTTTAATTCGACGAACAACGTCAACCAGAAATGTGTAGCTACAACGGTTTGTATATGGTTGAAAGCCCTTAGGGGAACAGTTCGTTTAGAGAAGTTCTAAAAGAAAACCTCACATAGATTAGAAGAAAGGTTAAAATGATAATTTTTGTTGTTCAGATTATTTATTCAGAATAAAAATTAAACAACAATTTATCTTAATTTATGCAGATAAGTTAATATTTATAGACAGCTTAATAGATTCAGAACTTAATAAATAAAAAAACCAAACAAACCCTTGATGATCATGTTCGCTGATATACGTGACAAACACTGTTACAAGTTGTCCAAATTGCTAAGAAATAGATCCTTACACGAATAAGAGGCCTATGTATTTCTACCGGTCGTCCTCATTTAGTATGTCAATTCTTTCGAATTTATCTTCTCGTTTTATGTGGAATAGCATCCTTTAACTTGACATACATAAAATTAGTTATATTTCAAAAAATATCATCTTAAATATCAGTATCATTTTAAATAAATTGTCTAAATAAAAGTATGACTATATTTTAACGTAGTATTTTAAGACACGGCTAATTTTTCAACGATAAGCTGAAAAAGCAACCGAATCCATTCACTGTAGCTCTTAAAAATTCCAACAACAGAAAAAATTATGTATATAAAATAAGTGTATTTATATAATTATATCAAATACGATTGTACGTTATGTAAAATATCTATATAGTAAAAAGCAAACTGCTCAAACCCAACATCGCATAAATCCATACAACTCTTTAACACTACCAATACTTCTTTTTGAAGTTTATGTTGTGTTTGTAGTTGTGTCTTTGTAGATAAGTTAATGTGAATGTCATTTGAACGGTGGCATCTAGTAGTTAACACGGTTGAATCTTTCATTAGCCGGTTCAATAAAATTAGTCATATAAGACGTCTAAAATATCTGAACATACTAATAAAATACGTCATACGATTAGACCAAAAACGACCTATTTAAAAGTGTTAGAATAAGTTTATAGTTAGCTTTTAGGCATTTCAACAAGTTTTTTAAAACACTTTTTAAAATAAAGTGTTCTATTAGCTATTTTATATGACATTATTTAAAAAAATGATCTATAAACACATGTATCCAATGAAAAGATGAGTTTACAAAACACTTCTTAAAAATGTCCTATAAAAAGATGAGTTTATGGGATATTTCTCAAAAGTGTATAATAAAATAGTTGATACGACATTTTATTTTAAATTCTAAAAAACTTGTTAAAACGCTCAAAAACGTCCTATAAACCTATTACAACATTTTTGGATATGGTGCTCTGTAGTGTGACCATATAAACTTAAGTGCTATAAAATATTTTATTAGTACGCTTGAACATTCTAGACGTCCTATAAACATAGTAGTGGACGTAGGAACAAGAGTTAATGGATAAAGTGAAACCTCAAATATCATCTTCATCATACAACTGCAAGCTCCAACAATTAGCTGTCATATGTATCATTTAATAGCATCTCTAATGATTATATAAAATTTGTTATGATCAACATATTTTTAATCCTCTGTTATGATCTAGTATAATATTTTTCTTAAAAAATAGTATAAACAAATGGTACAAATGTCAATCTTCAAAATATATAAAATCTGTTATGATCAACACATTTTTAATTCTCTGTTCTAGAAAAACTATATAAAATTTGTTATGATCAATATATTATTTTTTATAAATAAGATAACATAGTCATGAGTTGGTACTCTAAACCCTTCCATGAGTTGGTTCAGTTTAGTGACGATACTATCTTAAGTATATATATACATACATATTCCAAATAAAATATTTGGGATTGTCTTTTTTTGGTTCAATTTAACATTAAATTGACTCTATAGGCTTATATATCGTACGGGAACCTGGCCTATAGCACACGGCCAGTTCAAATTTTGGCCCCGTTAGTTTGTAATTTTCAGTTTTTGGTTCGATGGATAGCATCAACCAGAAATGTGTAGTTATCACGGTTTCGTGTACGGTTGAAAGCCCTTAAGGAAGCAGTTTACTTAGAGGACTTAAGAAAATAACGTAATTAAAATATTTTATGTTATAAATTTTGTTGCATATGTAGATTGCTCAAGGATAATTATGAATTAATTGGGATGAAGGAAACATACTGAGTGATCATGTGTGATCAGATATACGAGACAAAGACTGTTACCAGGTTATCGAAGCTGTCAAGATATAGATCCTTTACACGAGTAAAAAACGGGTACATGTATTTTCACAAGTCACCCTCATTTTGTATAGCAATTCTTTTGAATTTATCTTCTCGTTTTACGTGGATTAGCATCTTGAGGTCCTTTAATGTGACAAACGTAAAATAGTTTGATTTTAAGAAATGGCCGTCTTAGATACTCATCACAATTTAAATAAATCTTTTTAATAAAAAAAAAAGTTAACGTATTTTAAGACATCACTAATTTTTAACTAATGTGTTATAAGCGTTCTCTAAACAGTATTCTATAATCTACTAAAACAGAGTATTAAAGTCAAAATCTCTAAAAAAAATTACAAACAATTTCAATATCTACTCTAATTTAGATATTCCAACACTAATGGTATTATTAAAATATATATATATATATATATATATCTAATAAAATCTTATTTCTTTCTCCTATACGTTTAATTTCAACGTCTCTTACTCAAGAAATCCGTTGGGCAGGCGGATTCCCAAGTCCTGCATCCACCAAGAACATTTCTTCCTTGTACGCGTAAAACTTAAGAGTTTGGTAGGAAAGGATTAAATATTATTTTTCTCTTTTAAATATTGAGTTTTTGATATTTCTCCAAATTTCACCCTTTATTCCTTTTTCTGTCTACTTTATCATATATTACATCATAGTTGTTAGAGCAAAAACATTTCATAAATCCATAAAAAAACTTTATTTTAACATAATTATTGGAGATTCTCTAATAAAAACCCAAGTTTTTATGATAGCAAATGTGTTAATGTATATTTTCTATTAGTGTTTGTTGTAATTTATGTAAACTTCTCTATTCAGTTTTAATAAACGTTGATTGTTAAAAGCAGATGGGACCCACAAAGATTCTTACCTCCAACACTAAAATATAAAAATAAGTGTTTCCTTCTCTAATTCAACATTAGATCTTCTATAAATATATATATATATATTATTATATAGTTAAGTTTTTATATATATGACTAGTTTTGGGTATCCGTGCAATACGCCAATGCGTCCGGAACCCAAAATGTCAAACTTTTTTTTTAAATCAAGAGTATAGAGTTTATACATATTATAAACTACAAAATTTGTAATTGAAATACAATTGCGTTTACAAACACAATGGAACCCAAAGTTAATGTCATTTCATATTTAAAGAAGGAACTCAAAGTTGAATCTTATTTGAAGCCTAAAAAAGTAATCACGACTCTAAATTTTATTTCGGGTAAAATGCGTGAAATAACAACTTACTTTTATAAATTTTTTTATTATAGCATTGTATTTTCAGTTTTTCTTATCATAACAATATATTTTCAAAATATTTTTTATTAGGGCATCGTACTTTCAAAAATTATCCGTTATAGCATTGGGTAACCTGTTACATTTTGAACAAGTTTTTCTTTGTTGACGTGTCAAACTTTAAAATGATATGGAAACCACATAGGATAACTTGTTACACATGGGAAATGCGCGAAATAACAACATACTTTCACAAATTTCCTTATTATAGCATTGTACTTTTAGTTTTTCTTATTATATTAATATATATGCTTTCAAAATATTTTTTATTGAGGCATCATACTTTCAAAAATTTACCCGTTATAGCATTGGGTACACGAGGCGGAACGGGTTCACAAAGGGGTGTTAAAAATGTAATGTGAAATCTTCGAGTTTGATACTAATATTATATGTCAATAGCATACTAACTTGTTCACTAATTTGAACAGAAACCATCTCAAATGGAATCACGACCAAAGTTCATCCTGAAAAAAGGAGGACAAGTGAAAGGATAACTATGAACAACCTAGAGAGAAAATATTGTTGAGTAAGGCGCGAATGAAGTAGTCATTTAATTTCCCCTCTTACATTTTGAGCAGCAACTGCTTCATTTCGGCCGAAGAGGGCTTCATATCAAAAACTCAGAATTTAAATACCCACTTGATGGTAAGAAGATAACCAACAGAAAAAGAGCGTACAAATAACCTACAGAGAAAGAGCTTCATGGTAAAGAAGAATGGGTTCCATTTGACTCTTATCACATTCATGCATGTTTTCAACTTGCTCTGCATTAAATTGTACATAAATCTAAACGAAGTCAAAACCATTTTCAGGTGATCAACAGAACTATCAACAGAGAAGAACAAACTTAACATTAATGATTCATGTATTCAACCAACT